CTGTAAAATTTTGTGAAGATATCTTCATTGTGACGGTAGTTATGCGAGGTATATGAAATTGTGGACCGATTCTAGCAATTTTCAGCAGGGATCAAGATCTTGTGTAGAAACGAATGTATGGTGATTTTCATGGAATTATCTTGCATAGTTTTCAAGAAAATTACATCAGAATGTGTAAAAAATGCTTATTTTTTTCGAGGTTGTTTTAAATTTTGATTCATAACTTTTCCCGATGTGAACCGATTTTGCTCATTTTCAATACCAAACTGTACCGGATAATAGTGAATGTTTTGGGTGAATTTGGTTAAATTATATTGCTTCGTTTTAACGTGAGGGTGTTTTACACAGACAGACAGACGGACGGACAGACGGACATAGCTAAATCGACTCAGAATTTCATAAGGACCCAGAATATATATACTTTGTTGGGTCTCAGATGAATATTTCTTGGTGTTACACACGGAATGACAAACTTATATATACCCTCTATCACCACTGATGGTGGTGGAGGGTATAAAAAGAAACACCACGAGTCGATTGATCTCTTATAACGTTGTTGTTGTTTACGTAATTTTCTTGTGTTCTTTGGTTGAGAGAGACGGTTGCATCAAAGAAATAGAGAATGAGCGCAGTAAACGTCTAATTGTTGTTGTTATGGGGCATTTGAAATAGTCAACACACATGTACCTTATGATGGCAAGGGAATGGAATAAGTAAACGAAACGCAGTGAGTTAAAAAAATGTAAATAATAAGAATGATAACTAACGAAACAAAGGAAAAAATGTTAAGAATAAAAACAGAAAGGAAACTAACTAAACAAATGTAGATTTAACCCATAAACGAGTTGTAATTTTAAAATTTGAATTGTAATTCACAATAATTCTATATCGTGCAGTTGTTATAAGTAAGTTTTGCGTTTATATGGGAATTATATAGAATTAAGAGAATGAATTTCAATGTTTAAATTAAAATCACATAACACGGTCAAAGGATAGTGTTATGCGATAAAATCAAATTAATTCATTAATGGAAAAAGGAAAAGAAAGATCCTAGAGTTACGCTAGATAAAATAAGACAAACAATGTGTAAAATATTTACTAAAACAAAATTTATCTTTGAATTTATGAAATGAATAATAAAAGAGAAAATTCAATTACAATGAAAGATTAAATAACTGTGAATGTGTGTATGATGAGGGAGCAAACCAGACGAAATAAGCAGACGGACGAGGTGAGGACGAACCAACCAGACTAAAACGGACGGAGACTCAGAAGTAGGGGCTGTAGAGAAATTAAGAAATGGTAAGGCCATTACAGCATGGACGGGAGGGTTTGGTCATGCCAGTCGGTAATATCTAGGACTGTGCGGACGGTGACGACTGATTTGGAAACTTGTATGTGAAGTTATTTTATTTTATATGGGTACGGAAATTTTGTGTACTGCGGCGGACTTCACATAATCATGGCACCAAGAATCCACCCATATCGGACGAGCTAGGTCGTGTTAAATGCAAGCGTACCCAGGTGTTATGATGAGTGCAAAACAAGAGCTACGTCCGCGCGTAACAATATATATGTATATATATATATATATATATATATATATATATATATATATATATATATATATATATATACTGAAAATAATCCATGCTTAACTTTACGAAAAAAAATTTCGTCACTACTTTTTTCGTAATATATACTTTCGTATTTCGTGTATAATACTGTTAACTTGGACTGTAGAAGTGGATGGAAGATGAGAAAATGTTAGCAACTCTCAGCCAGACACTCCCAGCAAATGTAGTTTGTAGAAGAATGATAAATAAAAGACAACGAAATTGGAATTAATTTCAGTTCATTTATTGTAATTTAATTGTTGGTTGTACCAGTAACAAAGATGCGATCAAAACCTGAGGTTGAAAAATTCTAATATGTCGCGTAAAACGGAAAACGCATTTTCTTCCCAAAAAGTGGCGAATTACCATTTTCGTTAAATATATTGTACAAGAATAATGAGTTATTCGCAGCGTGCAGCTTTCATGTATGATTAGTTTAGCGATTTTAATCCATCGTTCGAAAGTTTGTATTACCGTAAGGTAGTATATATTTTTGGCATTAACATTACACCCCCCCTTGCAGGATGTGCAATGAAGGGTCAAAAATGAAAGTCAAAAATATTATCGAAGTACGTTTTTCCTTATTCACGATGTTACTGGCAGTTACTTATTAATAGTATATTAGTTTTAAATTTTAATTTTCAATTCAAGTAAAAATAATTCAATATCTAAAGGTTTTAGCTGTAATTGTACACATGTTTATAAATAAAAATGCAAAGAATTAAAAAAAGTAAAGTAATGATACGGCTGTTGTATGTTTATCTTTAGATAGAGTAAGGTCCATAAATTATCCACCCGAATATAGTTCGCTGAGCTGTCGGTAAACCAATTCTTGAGAATACTCCCTCCTCGATTACCTTGGGGTACATATCAACACCGACTACAATATCAATTCCGCTGCATTCATGAAAATTAGGGTCTCCCAAAAAAAGATCGCGAAAATGGTTCTTTAGAGATTTAGGGAATGATTGTGCTGGTGTTAGCATAGTGATTCTATTATCCACTCTGAAGGTTCCTTCAATTTTTAAATCGGAATTGAATCGAGATTTAAGTATTAGAGGACAAATAGTCTCATCTTTCAAAGAGTAGCACGTCAAGCTTAACTTGTCAACTAGTTGTTTAGATACACGGCTTATTGAGGATCCTGAATCGAGGAGACAACGCCCATAAGATGTTTTTGATCCGATTTTAACAAGAACCGTAGGAAGCAAAATTATAGTGTTTTGTCGTATGACTGCTGAAAGTGACGATGGCTTGTCAACGAATGAGGAATGCGTTGGTATATTTTGTGTGAATTCTGTAGAAGTGTTGGGTTCAGGTGTTGGTGATCGGGATGACGACAACGATGGTGATGGAGATAATTGAAAATCATTACGCAAACGTGAATTAACGTGTAAGAGAGTGTGGTGGTACTTCTTACAGTGTTTGCATCCGAGTTTTGTAAAACAGCTTCCATGAGAGTGGTTGTGCGCCAAACAATTCGAACAATATTTATACTTTCGAACAGCTTGAATTCGTTCCTTTATGTTCATGCGTAGGAACCTTTTACACCTGCGCAACCCATGGGCCTCTTTACAGATCCGGCACAGATATGACTTGGGCTTGTTAGCTGCTCTTGATTCGTTGGCGATCTTATATTTAAGCGATGCAGTTTTCCTTCCACGAACTATGCGATTCGGCATTATCGACAAGAACTAGAAAATTTTGTATATAGATTATTATAATATCAGTGTATTAACGTTAAAATGATATATAAGATAACTCCAATTTGAATTAACGGGTTTGTAAATTTGCTTTATATTGGTATTTGATAGTGCGTTGTTTAATAAATGGGTGAATGGACATGGGGTTCATGTGATTTGGATATCATTAGGAAGAATTTAGAACTACAAGTTTTGTGATAGGACGCGTAATAATGCCCTTTTGGGTATAGACATCAGCAACTCTGACTTTATTATCAGAGCCCAAGTAAGTCTTTGTTATTCGTCCGAGACGCCAAAGATTTGAAGGAAGATTTTCGTCTCTAACTACAACTAATGTGTCTTTTTTTAAATCATCTTCAGGCTTTTGCCATTTAACACGTTTATGAAGTTCCTTTAAATACTCATTTTTCCATCGACTACAGAAATGTTGGTGGACAAGTTTTAATTTCTGCCATCTATTTATAAGAGATAAACGCGTTTCATCGATAGACGGATCTAACGGGGCTAATATAGGTGCTCCAATGAGGAAATGACCAGGAGTCAGTGCGCTCAGATCAGAAGGATCCTGGGACATCGGAGATAAAGGCCTAGAGTTCAGACATGCTTCTATCCTAGATAATAGCGTACTGAATTCCTCAAATGTGTATTTGAAATCTTTAGCGACCTTCCGGAAATGGGATTTAAAACTTTTTACGCCAGCTTCCCATAAGCCTCCCATATGGGGTGCACCTGGAGGAATAAAATGCCATGTAATATTGTGGTGGTGAAACTGAGAGGAAACAAGTTGATGAGAAGTTTGTAGAAATTCTCTGGCGAGGGTTTTAGATGCACCAACGAAGGTAGTTCCATTATCTGAATATAAATGAAGAGGGCAACCACGTCGCGAAACGAATCGGTGAAATGCGGCCAGAAATGCAGAAGTAGATAAATCAGACGTAGCTTCCAAATGGATTGCTTTAGTGGAAAAACAAACGAAAATGCAAACATAGCCTTTAGATATCCGACAAGTTCTGCCCACATAACTCTTAATGTCAAATGGCCCTGCAAAATCGAGGCCAGTATTTGTAAAGGGACGTGAAAACTCAGATCTTTCTGGAGGTAAGGCTGCCATAATTTGCCTGTGGCATCTTTTCTTATAAATAATACAGGACTTACATTTGTTAATAGTCGTTTTAATTAGATTCTTTACTTTTGGAATCCAATATTGAGTTCTTATGATCCGAAGGACCAGCTGATTGCCACCGTGAAGCGTGATATCATGAACGAACTTAACTAGTAAACGAGAGTATTGACAGTTATATGGCAGTAAGATGGGATGTCTTTCGTTGTAGGTAAGTCCTGAAGATGAGACTAGTCTACCACAGGAGCGAATTATTCCTTCTGGATCAAGAAATGGATTAAGATTAAGCAATTGACTGGAAGATAATATGGATTGTCCCTCCTTTAATTGTTTGTATTCATCCGGATACCATGCTTTTTGGCACATTATTATAAGTCGATCACGAACCTCTTTGACCTCTGAGCCAGTAATCGTCATAGTAGGTCTCGAAAACATTGACTTATATCTGGGATGGGTCCTGTAGAAGAATCTGAAAATGTATGCAGTAATACGAATAGCTCTCGCGAATGACGAAAACCTTTCCAGAATGTCTTCGAAGTTTGAAAAATACAAAAAACAAACCCTTGTTGGCTTCTTTTCCAGATCTGTTTCTAGAATATGATCAAAATCCTGAAACATTTCATTTGGAAATCGGAGAAATGTAGGTCCTTTCCACCAAAGATCATTATGAACCATTTCTTGCGGCAAAACGCCACGACTTGCAATATCAGCAGGATTGTTTTCCGATGCCACATGATGCCAAAGTGAAGGATCGATAATTTGACATATTTTCGATATTCTATTCGCGACAAAGGTTTGCCAGAAACACGGAGGTTTAGCCAACCAAGATAGAACGATCGTGGAATCTGTCCAGCAAACAGTTTCATATCTTTCGATGTCCAGTTTTGGAAGAAGTGAATCAATCATTTCCGCGAGAAGGGCAGCTCCACAAAGTTCCAAACGTGGTATAGAAATAGTTTTTAAAGGAGCCACTTTAGTTTTTGAAGAGATCAAATGTGTGAATACAGTGTCATTGTTCGATATTCGTATGTACAATACCGCTGCATAGGCCTTTTCAGAGGCATCGCAGAATCCATGAAATTGAATGTTGGAGTTCGGAACAAAATTTATCCATCTAGGAATATGAATATCTTTTATGTACGAATAATTCGATTGGAATATTTTCCATTGGGCAAGTGATTGAGGAGATAAGACTTCATCCCAACCAGTTCCTTCTGCCCATATTTGTTGCATCAATATTTTTGCCACGATAACGCACGGGGCCAGCCATCCAGCTGGATCAAACAAACGGGCAATATGTGACAAAACTTCTCTTTTAGTGAACTTCAAAGGCTCGGTGAATTCTGTTGGAACAAAGTAAAAAGAATCTGAGCCCGCATTCCATCTAATGCCCAATGTTTTCGCTGTACTTCTATCATCGAAATCCAAGAAGTCTTCATGAAGTAAGTGATTTGAGGGGAGATCGGCGAGAATATCTTTCACATTGGCTGTCCATTTCCGTAAAGAAAAACCAGCTGACCCTAGAGCATGTATAAGGTTATTTTTTGCTTTGATTGCAGCTGTAATAGTGTGCTCCCCTGCCAAGACATCATCTACATACATTGAATTCTTCAGAATTTTACTGGCGGATGGATTTTCTAGTTCAACATCTTCAGCTAACTGAATTAGCGTTCGAATAGCGAGATACGGAGCGCAGTTGACACCAAATGTTACAGTGTTTAATTGATAATCTTGAACAGAACTGTTAGGATTTTTTCGAAATAATATTCTTTGAAAAGGCGTATGTTTAGGTTCAACTAAGATTTGTCGGTACATTTTTTGTATGTCCGCATTGAATACAAAACGAAAAAAAACGCCATTTAAGAATTAAAAGTGGTAAGTCACTTTGTAAAATAGGACCCGGGTATAGAATATCATTTAAACTTAAACCATTTGATGACGGGGATGAGGCATTAAATACTACACGAACTTTAGTGGTAGTACTTTCGGGCTTTATGACGGCATGATGAGGAAGATAGTAGGTCAAGGACTCATTTAAGGACTCATCACAAACTTTGGACATATGATTTAAGTCTTCATATTCTTGGACGACTCTATCATACTCCGATTTTAACGATGGGTCCCGGAGAAGTCTAGATTCATTCCGAAAAAATTGAGCCAAAGCACTATTCCGAGATTTACCTAAGCACAATTTCTCAGGATATCCCTCCTTGAAGGGTAAAGAAACGATATATCTTCCTTCCGGACTTTTCCTTGTCGTCATTTTGAATAATTCCTCACACTTTTTGTCTGATGGAGATATAAACCTTTCCCGAGGAAGATCCTCCACCTCCCAAAATTTGGAAATTTCCTTGTCCAAAGCAATTTCACAGAAATAAGAAACAATATTTGAATTTGAACTTGTAGATTTTGTCGAAACGGGCCCTGTTAGAATCCAGCCAAATATGGTCTCTTGAGCCATTAAAGATCCACAAACAGACGTCCTTACTCCGGAACACATAATTGAAGGAATCAAATCGCCACCTAACAAAATGTCAATTTTCGCACTGTTATGAAATAAAGGATCAGCAAGAGGAATTTTAGGTAAGTCCGAGAATGATGAAGGAAGAAATGTTTGTGACGGAATATTTTCTGCTAAATGGGGAACAACTAAAGCTTTTGCAGAAATTTGACTTCCACTATACAAAGGAGAACTTAAGCCAAAGCAACATTCTTTCCGTACAGTAGCAGATACTGTATTGTTTAGCCCTGAGATTGTAGCTGTTGTCTTCCTAAATGGCAATTTTAATCGGTTGAACAAGCGTTCGGATATCAAAGTTCCCTCTGATCCCGAATCAATTAGAGCACGTGCCCGAAACTTTATGTCCATATGACTAATGTTAACTATGGCAGTTCCTAAAAGGACACCATTCGAATTCATTGAAAAACAATTCTGTATCGAAACTCCTGAACTTGTTGTGGATGTAGTTGGATCACTATCACTTTGTACGAAAGGTATTGAGTTTGGGTTTAAATTTGAAGTGGTACCTTCACTTAACTCGTTAGGGTCAGAGTTATCCCTGTGAAGCAAGGTATTATGACGCTTTCTACAGTGACCACAACTATTCTTACTATTGCAATTCTTAACTAAATGTAATTTTGAAAAACAATTTAGGCATAGACTTAGTTTTTTTATTAGACCGAATTTCTGAGGGTAATCCATTTCTAAAAACCTTGGACACTTTCTTATTACATGAAATTCATTGGGGCAAAGAGGACATCTTGGAGCTGCTATATTATTTTGAAAACTGTTAATTTTTCTTGTCGAAAGAGATACTTTGGAGTTCGTATTTGTTTTACGCAACTCTGCTACAGATTCAAGTGTCCGATACCGATTTGTCAGAAATGAGTCAAGATCTGCCCATTTAGGAATGCTAGTTTTATCTGTCAGACCTTGTTCCCACAATGTAAGAGTAGTGTCAGGGAGTCGATTTGAACACAAAAAAACGAATATCGGATCCCAACTTTCAACATCGATATCGTACATCTTTAGAGCCGAAATACTAGAATTAATATCGCGTTGCAGTTGTTTGAGTGCAATTCCGGATTCGGATGAAATCGACTGAAGATTAAAAAGGACTTTCAATTGCAAATTGACTAAAATTCGACGATTTTCAAAACGTGTACAAAGATTAGTCCAGGCTAAGTCAAATCCCATATTTGTCAATGGGCTTTTTTGTACAATTTCACGGGCTTCTCCTGAAGTTTTTTGTGTTAAATGAAATAGTTTCTCAACAGAACTTAACCTGGAATTCTTTATGTATACGGCCGTGAACAAGTCACGAAATGTAGGCCATAGCATATAGTCTCCATTGAATACTTCAATATCACATGGTGGTAAATTGAAACTATAAGAATCCGTATTTAAGCGACTGATTTCTATTGAATGTGTAGGAATAGGGGAACTATCATATTTGGAGGAAGCATCTTGTCGAAGTTTCTCAGCTAATTCCGAAAGTTTTGCCAGCAGATTACAATAAGTTATATAGGTGGTCTTGTATTTAGTACGGAACGTGTCTAAATCAACGGGGCTATCATCTTCGTCGTCGTTATTATCTCTGTCCGCTAAAAATTTGTCATATGCCGTCTTAATTCTAGACCATGTGGATTTGATCTCAAGTTTATGAACTTCCACAGCATGACATGACGATATGGGAAGTCTGTTTTCATTAAACTCAGAATCGAATTCCACCAAACTATCTGCTAAGCGAATAAAGTTGTCCAAAGACATAGTTTGTGAAGTAGTGATTGAATTCAGGTGAGATTGAACAGAAATGGCATATATGTATAAAATAGATTCAAATGATCAATAGAGTTTGGATTTTCTATTACTATTCCGAAATGTTGAACAAAAGATACAATGAAAATGTTTATGTGGGCAATCGATATACAGAAGATGGAAATCTCCACAGATTGTTACAAAAAATTTTAGTTAGAAGATTGATTAAGAATAATCTAAGATTATTCGAATTTTTATGAATTCAATGTTTTGTTTTTTTTTTTTTTTTAGGATTAATTTATTAAATTTTCAATAAAATAGTTAGTAATAGAAATAGAAAATTATAATATAATAAAATTTATTCGTGATTAAGATCTGATTTTATTTTTTCTGTGCAAACTAATAAGAAATTATTCATGAGAATTCAAATAGAAATTAAAGATATGTTTCAACACTAGAAACATTTGTAAGAACTAGAGATTAATAACCTATTAAAATATAGGCTATTGGAATTCCATTAAATATTTAACACTTTAAGAACCGTACGAACAGTCGAATCCAATTCTAAAAGAGAGTGAAACCTCCCTTCAGAGCCGATTAACAGCAAATAAAAATGATCAAGATAGTCGAGTAGCGTACGGACAATATATAGCACGACAATATTTGTTCTCACAGTGTAATAAAAGAAAAGAAACAAGCGGTCAACTTTATAATAGAAATTTATGAAACTTTCGTAGGTAATTTTTTTTTTTTTATTGAAAAATTTCACATAGAATTTATAAAGAAAAATTAACTATGTATTAAGAATTACTATCGAGTGAATATTGTATTTTTTTGCAGAAATTTCAAACCAAAATACCATATATTCATAGATAAACGAAATATGCTATAATATTCATCACAATTGTTCGATCACAAACAAATGATTACAACATCAATACTAGAGTTCCAATGTGAGAGTATGTAATAAACAGAGGGAGAATTAAAAAAATGTAATATTGCAGGGATGGTAAATTCTGTAATATCTATATATATATAAAGAGATCCACATTTGTTTACAGACAAATGAACGGAATTTAGTATTGTAAAAGAAAGTTTAATCTTTCCTCTAAATAGAATTAAGTACAAATTAAAAATTTACATGCCTGGTTAATCACGAAGTTGCCTATGCAGGTAATGAGCGTTCTTAAGAGCAATATATGAAGCAATAACCGAAAATAACTGTTTATCAAAAAAAAAAGTAATTTGAACTCTTTAAATTACAAGAAACTAACAGAGAAATGTACGACAAAAAAATACCAAAAATTTTGCCGAGAGAATAGTTATTTGAATACCTGAATATGAAAAGTGTACAATTGAAAGAGATCCGAAGATTTCAATTTCGTAGAAGATTTTTAGTAAACACAAGCCAAAGAGAATATATATTTAAATAGCTGAATATATGTTACAAAAATGAGCAAAAAAAATAGTTATTTAAATAGCTGAACGTATGCATGTAAAGTCTCCAATAAAGGTCTCCAACTGTTGGAAATGGTTGAACTTTGTACCTTTTTATTAAAATTTTTATTTTATTTTTTTGAACTATATCGTATAGATATTAAAAACTAATTATTCCGAGGTTCTTTTATTCTTTCTTTAACTCACCAGCGTATAGCGAATCTCATTTTTCTCTGAAATTTTTCGTAGAACTGTCCCATTAATCGCTTATAATTGTTGCTAAAATTGCTCACGCACCTTATTTTTATTAAAATCATAAGCACTTGTACTTAATTCCTTTTTTTTTTTATAATTAAATTAATAAATTAAATTAATAATTCTTCCGTGTCACAATCATACATTTATTGTCTTCAAATGGACAAAGCAAATGCTATTAAAACACTCTTGCGTTAGCACTATCAAATCCAAATAAATTAAGCAAATTACAACAAACCTTTTAAGTCAATTCCTTGGAATATACTGGAAATCTCTGAGAATATTAATATTTCCCAATGTTATCCGGATCGATGGATCAATGTTAACTTGGACTGTAGAAGTGGATGGAAGATGAGAAAATGTTAGCAACTCTCAGCCAGACACTCCAAGCAAATGTAGTTTGTAGAAGAATGATAAATAAAAGACAACGAAATTGGAATTAATTTCAGTTCATTTATTGTAATTTAATTGTTGGTTGTACCAGTAACAAAGATGCGATCAAAACCTGAGGTTGAAAAATTCTAATATGTCGCGTAAAACGGAAAACGCATTTTTTTCCCAAAAAGTGGCGAATTACCATTTTCGTTAAATATATTGTACAAGAATAATGAGTTATTCGCAGCGTGCAGCTTTCATGTATGATTAGTTTAGCGATTTTAATCCATCGTTCGAAAGTTTGTATTACCGTAAGGTAGTATATATTTTTGGCATTAACAAATACGAAATATTGTTTAATCAACCCCTTATCTAATTTTACGAAAGTACGAAAGCCTGTCGTAATAATTTTTTTCGTATATATTAAGAAACTTTGTTTTCTTTTACAAAAAGTAATTTCGTTAAGGCATGTAATATTTAACGAAAGTAACGAATTTTTTTCGTAACAAGATTATTTAGTAATATACAAGAATTATTTTTGATTTCACCAAAAAGTTATTTTGTTACGACTTTTGTTTTTTTTTTTTTTTGTTATTTTCGTAATTTTAAGGGAGTTAAATTAAACGTAATTTTTAATTTACAGTAAATTAGCTGCCTAATTTCCTTTAAAATTTTATATATATATACCATATATTTATATATATATATATATATATATATATATATATATATATATATATATATATATATATATATATATATATATATAGATATATATATATAGATATATATATATATATATATCATTCTTGAACATTTTCCATATCGGTCCATAACTACCTCCCATATAAGGTTCACTTCTGAAAAGCACTTAATACCTCTTAATACCACAATTTATTATTAAACTCGACATGAGTATTTTCTGTGTATAGATAAATCATTTTGATTATTATACCCTCCGCCACCATGAGTGGTGATAGAGGGTATATATATCTTTTCCATTCCGTGTGTAACGCCAAGAAATATTCATTTGAGACCCAACCAAGTATATATATTCTTGGTCCTTATGAAATTCTGTGTCGTTTTAGCTATGTCCGTCTGTCTGTCTGTGTAAAACACGCTCACGTAAAAACGAAGTAAAATAAATTATTAAAATTTGGCCAGAATATTCCCTATACTCCTAGGCAGTCTGGTATTGAAAATGAGCAAAATCGGTTTACGTCGGGAAAAGTTATGAATCTAAATTTAAAACAACTCAGAAAAATATAAGCATTTTTTACACATTTTGATGCAATTTTCACGAAAACTATGCAATATAATTACATGAAAATCATCACACATTTGCTCTTACATGAGAACTTTATTCTTGTTGAAAACTGCCGGAATCAATCCATAATCAATCCATAATCTCCCATACAAAAGTACATATTTCTGGAAAATGAGATTATTGTTAATAAATTCCGTCAGTACATAATTGGTCATAGCTCCCATACAAGGTCCCCTCCCGAAAATCACTTAAAGGCACATAACTCATTGCATAATTAAGATATCCATATAAAATTTGCTACAAGTATTGATCTTATATACAGAAATGTTACTGTGAAATTTTTTCCCGATCGGTCCTTAATTGGTCATAGCTCCCATACAAGGCCCTCTTACGAAAATCTCTTAGACCCACATTACTCATTACCAAAGAAGCTATTGATACAAAATTTTGCACAAATATTAGTTAAGATTTTTTCACGACTGGTTCATAATATGAGTGCGATCGGTCCCATACAAGGTTCCCTTCCGAAAATCTCTTAAACACACATTACTTATTACTAAATTACGATATAGATACAAAATTCAACTGAAATATAGCTTCTATATACAGAAATGTTACTTAAAGATTTTTTACGATCGGTCCATAATTGGTCATATCCCCATACTAGGTATATCTGCAAATGCATGTATATCCTATATATATATAAAACAGACTGTTTGTTTGTTTGTTTGTTTCTTACGCTTTCACGGCAAAACTTCTGAACCGATTTACATGTAATTTGGACCGCTAATAGGTCTAGCCCCAAAAGGAACAATAGGCTATATAAGATCTTGATCGGATGCCACGCCCCTTTTTACGCCCACTTTTTGTAAAACTATTATTACACCAATTTTACAATCACAATTTGCAAAAACTACTAAACCCATTTACCTGAAATTTTGCATACCGATAGTTATAAGTCTGAAAAAACTATGGGCTATATATGAGATAGTGATCCGATGACACGCCCCTTTCTACGCCCACTTTTTATAAAATTATCCTTACCTATATATTATCCTATAATTATATGAAAGAGAATGTCTGTTTGTTACGCTTTCACGGACAAACTACTGAACCGATTTACATGAAATTTAGAACACTAATAGTTCTATTCTAAGGTGATGATTTGACGTCACGATTCTTCTTATTCTCACTTTTTTTCTATATAATTGTCATACAAAATTTCCATTCGAGACTTACAGAAAACTACTGAACCGATTTTCATGAAATTTGGTATACCAATAGGTCTGACCTCAGAATCTGGATTGGACGCCATGCCCCTTTTTACACCAACTTTTTGTAAAACAATTATTAAACCAAAGTTACGTTCAGGCATACAAAAAACTTCTGATCCGATTTTCATAAAAACTATTATAATGAATGTTGTGGAATGAACATTACGAAACATTACATCTTCAAAACGTATAATATGTATTTAATAATAAATATATATGACACTCTTTTTACTCTTTCACTACATAACTACTAAACAGGTTTACATAAAATTCGGCATATTAATAGGTATAACCTCAGAAGTTAAAAAAGACTCTATATTATATTGATTGGATGCTACGCATATTTTTATGTTCAGATCATGATATATACTTCTTATATTATATAAGAATTATTATTTAGTTAA